AATGGGAACTTAGCATTAACTTTACGAACCGGTAGAGATTGTTAACAATAAAAGTCGACAGAGCGCTAACTTTTAAAGACAGCAGATCGAATTACTTATCGGATGGAGTGCAGTGGGTAAGCTGCGAAAATCGACAGAGAAAGTTAACTTTTGCTGTGAGGCCTGTGCATGTGTGTGATCTGTGTGGGACACATAGAGCCGTGTTTGTGTGTGCGTTGTTTGTGAGGTGGATGCTATCTATGAGGTTTGTGTCTATGTGTTATCTGCGATGCGTGTGTATGTTCGTATATGTGTGAGGGGCATAAATTAGGTTTGTGTGCAAAATTCCTCAGAAACTTGGTTGTCGTACACCGGTATAGTTTCCCGGGGCGAATGTTTCCGTCGATTCATGTTGTGTAACACGTAAAATGTTTTTTTTTTTTTTTTAGTTACATGAAATGTTTCCTTAGTTACATGTTATTTAGCCATGAAATGTTTCCTTAGTTACATGTTATTCAGCTCATTAAATGTTTTCTTAGTTACATTTTATTTAGCCATGAAATGGTTCCTTAGTTACATGTTATTTAGCCCATGAAATGTTCCTTGGTTACATGTTATTTAACCCTTGAAAAGTTTCCTTAATTACACGTTATTTAGCCCATGAAATGTTTCTTTAGTTACACGTTAATAAAAGGTCGCGGCATTAGGAAGGCTGAGAACCACTGCTCTAGCGGATTTTCCCAATAAAAGTTATTTTTGTTACACACACACACACACACACACACACACACACACACACACACACACACACAAACACACACATACACACACAGACACACACACAGACACACACAGATCCACTCTTTGTTCTTTTTATTAGTATGATTGTTCAACTATATATCTAACTGTTCCGTTGTTCAACTGTTTAACTAACTATTCGACTGTGTGTCTAATTATTTGTTTAACTGTATGTCTAACTGTTAAAATATACGTCTAACTGTTGGTTCTGTTATCTAAATGGTAGGTCAACCATATAAATGTTTGTTAATTATAATCTGTATGTGTCAGAGTCATATGGAATTTAAATAAAAACACAGACTGCTACTAGACCTCTGATACAACATACCCAAGCAAAGATATACAACCACTTTGGAAGTTGGCTTAAGAGTCACAAGGGGAGGCCTCGCAGCCCTGCCTCATCTACCCAGCCCTCGATAGAGCCGTGAGGTAACCTCAAACCACCTCTGGCTAAAAGTGCCAAATAGGGAGGCATTCACCTCTCGTTAGGGAGGCTTAAATGGTTTTTTTTTTTTCCTTATTCAAAGTCATAGAGCCACGGATCTTTAGATTGTTTTAGGAACCAATAGCAAAGCTGTATAAGGAATATGCACCCCCTCCCCCCCCCCTTTTTTTTCCGAAAAAGAATTACTGATTTTAAACTTATATACAACTTGTATCTCCGGCACTCTCTGTTTCTCGCCTTGGTTGTAAACTCTCATATGGGAAGAGACATTGACAGAACTGAACTGTCAATGTTGAACTTTAATGTGGGAAGAGACATTGACAGAACTGAAAATGACTGAAAATGTTGAACTCTCATGTGGGAAGAGACATTGACATAGCTGAACCGTCAATGTTGTGCGAACTACGCTAGCGGATACCCAAGAATCTATGACGCTAACACGTGTACATGATCTCAAACTGAAGCCTGGTGAAGCACATCAGTGCCGCCTTCTAGGTCAAGAGTGACGACATTGTAGCCAACTGCTCATGGAACAATCACTAGAGATACCTAATCAAGTTTCAGTCCGGTCCATAATTCGGATTACTATGTAACCGTCGGGGTCCCAATATAACCGATACACCGTTGAACGGGACTTGTATATGAGGGAATCTCATTCTTAAGGTGGTTATCCTACAGACTGCAATACTAAAACCCACCAACAATAGACCACAAGTTACTTCCTAACCGTTTTGTCCCACTTTGGTTGTTGCCGTGGGGCCCTAATTTAACCTAACAGTTTAACGGGTTTTCTATAACCTCTCCACGGGTGATCCTCATCCAAATGGTGGCACTTTGTGTCACCGGATGTTTATCGATCAGTGTGATGTCCTGATGGGATAGAAAGTCAGTCAAAAATCAGTCAGTCAGTGTTTTGTGGTGCCCCAATATAACTGTGTCAGATGGTTACGGTTGATGGGATTTTCGAGATTTGTATCTGTTTGATTCTCATCCCTGGGGTGTTAATCCTATAGACTGCTATTTTATTGAGGGGAGGGGGGCTTTGAAAATGCAGTACTGGAAGGGACAAACTGCTTGCCCACTTATCAGTAGAGTGAGATATCTTAGGGTGGTTGCTACATCGGAGGACTGAGCACGCATGGAAATGCCCTGAGTGAAGTGATACCGACTGTGGTAAAATAATGTACACTTTCTGGGACGGATATTCGACTATCTCTTGATATCTTTCTTCGTGAGTTTTTGTTTGGCAGAAGAAAGTAATCGACAACAGTTAGTCAATTATAGTCGAGCCGCCTCAACAGTTTGACGTTAGAAGTTTTGACTTAATTTTGTCCTTGTAATTAACAAGCAGACAAAAATTAGTGGCTCTATATATCAACGTATAATGTTTTCTGTTCAGCAGACGTCACGAACTGTCTTATGTTCAACAGATTGTTACTCCGAGAGGACCTACCTGTCATAGGCGCTGTCTTGAGCCAGCCCTGTTAAAAACAATTTTAGAGGGCGGAGGGGAACAGCTCAGTCTAAGTCCATGTATGAGTTTTCTTCAAGAGTATTCGTTTATACTTTCATATTACTTCAAGGATATTATTATATGTGCCATTCAGTCAGTCTGTAGCATGCCCTTTGCAGAACCTTTCTCCTATAACAACCCTCTGGAAAACTTCTCCATGACAAGGAAGATGACCCTTGTTTGATACACCCATCCCGAGATAATCCGCCACATCCTGCACTCATCTTCTTTTTGGCCTTCCTCTTCCTCCATTCCCAGGCATATACTCCTCCATTACTGTTCTCTGTAAAATTTTGTGACGTTTCAAGTGACCAAAATATTTCAGTTTTCGTCTTCAGTAGTATAGCCAACCTTCTTCTTCATTCAGTTCTCGAAGTAAAGATGCATTTGTTCTTTTCTTTACCCATGAAATTCTTAGGACCCATCTATAACATTTGTATTCAAAGACATTTATGCGCTAATGGCTTTGCCATTCAGTGTATTAACAATAGAGATCATTTTTATGGTGAATGATATGCAAATATAATGATATACAGGAAGTAATATAAAGTGTGTAAACTGATACTTTAACTCTTAGAGTCCCAAGGAACGCATCATACGTTCATAGGTTACTGCCTAGAAGCCCAATGAACGCATGATCCGCTGATTTTATGTCTCTTTTGACTACCTCTTGGGCCTGTGATGCTAAACCCTCTGGGACTAAAGAGTTAAGAGATAATTTCTATATGCAGCTGTAAATCCCCTTACACAATTCTTGGGTGGAAGGGACTGAAGAACCTGAGCTCAACCACCCCCTCCCCCTTCCTTCCCCCAGGTATTTGCCTAGAAAATATGTAAGGTGTTGAGACGACCTTATTTTTCCATATTTATTGGAAGGGGGGGGGGGGGGGTCCTAAAAGCACCAGTCCCCACCTACCCAATGTTTTGTGTGTGTGTGTAGGTAGTGATGATGGCGTGGTTGGGTTAGGGGACCTCAGTTCCCCCAGCCCCCCACCAATTGTTTTTTCTTTGGAGGGGGGGGGGGAGTACCTTTCAGTTATTTTCTTTGGGATGACATGCCTGCTACCTATATCAACAGCTAATAGTGATGTCTAGATTAGTGATTCCCAAACTGTAAGCCGCGGGGAGCCGCGACCTCTTCACAGGAGTGCTGCAAAATATTGTAAAAGCTTCATAATTAATTAAACCAAGACACGAATAGTCAGATTTTTTACTTAGGTTAGGGCGCCGTGGACAAATTTTAATTGAAAAAAGGCGCCGCGACCAAGAAATGTTTGGGAAACACGGGTCTAGATGATTGTCCTATCACGGTATAATTTGTGGAACAGAAGATAACAACAACCACTGATAATGGTCCTCAGAGTAGTGACCATTACTGAATTTGTTAAATAAAAGATTCTAATCTTGATAAAACATTGTCTTCTAAGAGTAATAATAAATAATTGGTTGAGTATAATTATAATCTTCCAACACCCTCTATAATTTAGCTTGGTTATATTTAGCTTGGTTATATCCCAGTCTAAGAAGTGGAGTTGTGCACATATACAGGCAGTAATTAATTGTAGATAAAGATGGTGGACCTGATAAATATAATAAGGTATGAATTCAAAAGACAAAAGTAGTTTTCATAGCACCAGATCTGGGGAAGTCAAAGGAAATTAAAATTAATAATAAACTGACAATATTTAACTTTGATGTTAAATCAGTACTGATTGTGTGGGGCTGAAACATGGAGAACAATCAAAATAAAATCAGGAAGGGAAAACAAAAAGATACCAGCTTTGGGTAGGATACAGGTTAAGGAAACAAGATAACAGTATAATTAGAAGGGCTTTACATTGGAACCAACAGGGGCATAGAAATAAAGGCAGACACACAAAAAAAAACCTTGAAAAGGGAACTGGAGATGGAGGTTAAAAAGTTGGGGTCGGGGTAAACTGCATGTAAAGCAAAAGATAGGATAATGTGGTGTGAGTTGGTTGAGAGCCTATGCTCCATTGGGGATAAAGGGAGAAGATAAAGATGTACCTTCTATTTATCAAATTATTACTCTGAGAAGGTTTTTTCGGGGGGTCAACATCTGGCATTATATAATTCTATTAGGCAAATTAGTATTCTGAGTTGTCTTGTAGGTGGTGGAAAGACATTTTGCCATTAATGTTTGATTAAAACTGACGAATGCATTCCATTCATACACTGAGACAACTTGTTTCACGCTCATGTTGGAAAAACCTAGAGGTCATTAAGCAAAGTCTAGTGGTCAGTATGAGTTCAGGAGCCAGACCGCGGGTGTTTATCAGTCGGAGAATTCCGGAGGAGGGTCGAGCGCTGCTGGCAGCCACATGTGATGTGAACAGTTGGGAGTCGGACGAACCACCATCTCATAGTGAATATCTTCAAGCTGTGGCAGGGGTGGACGGTATCCTGTGTCTGCTCACGGATACGATTAATGGGGAACTACTGGACGCTGCAGGTAATATATGTCACTGTTTCATGAAATACATGTCATCATCACAGATCACTCTTCTCCAGTTCCCTTTTCCATTTTTTTTTTGTCTGCCTTTATTTCTATGCCCCTGTTGGTTCCAATATAAAGCTCTTCTAATTATACTGTTATAATGTTTTTTTAAGCTGTGTCCTACCTCCTGATTCTGTTTTGTTGTTCCCCATGTTTATATATATATATATATATATATATATATATATATATATATATATATATATATATATATATATATAATATATATATATATATATATATATATATATATATATATATATATATATATATATATATAAACATGGGGAACAACTAAAACAGAATATATATATAAAATAAAGGACCCTTTTCCACGCCTTTAGGCATATAGGGCTAGGCCTATATTTTAAAGACCAATCAGCACAAGATGGGTGATGTGGCAGCATCACGCCGGCCGCCTTTACTTCCCAGGACTGCACCTGTACCCACTCAAGGTTGGGTCGACCTGGGAGCCTAGTTCATTTTTGAAAAAAAGTCACTTTTCTTATCTCAAGGTGCCACTAAATGGCTTTGCATTTCTTATCTCTATGGCACAATTTATGGCTTCTTGTTTATAGGCCCTGGTTTTTGGCTTTACTTTTCTTATCTCCAGGCTCCAGTTTGAGGTTTTTTTAACTGTATTCATAAGTGTATAATTCAGTTCAGTTGTAATCACAAATATTATTTAACTACATTAATAAGTATTATTAAACTGAATTCATAAGTCTATTTTATTACTTAAAAGTTTTTTGTCTGACAGTACTCAAAAACCTATCATCTAATTATATTTATATGTGTATTATCAATCTATATTTTACAAGTGTATTGTCTGACAGAAGGCATAAATATATTATCTAACTGTATTTTAGAAATATATTGTCTGACAGTACTCATAAATGTATTATCAATTTATATTTCACAAGTGTTTTGTCTGACAGTACTCATAAATGTATTATCTAACTATATTTTATAGATGTATTTATTGTCTGAAAGTATTTATAAATGTTTAATCTAAATGTATATTATAAATGTATTGTCTGACAGTATTCATAATTGTATTAGCCACCTGAATTTATATGTATCATTTAACTATATTAAAAAAAATTATTTATTGTCTGTCAGTATTCATAAACTTGTTATCTAACTATATTTTATAAAGGTATCGTCTGAGAGTATTCATAAATGTGTTATCTAACTGTATTTCATAAGTGTATTTTTTGCCAGTATTCATAAATGTATTATCTAACTGTATTTATAAGTATATTATCTGTATTCACTGAATGTTCCTTGATATCTCACTTCTAGAACTCAAATGGAGAGTTATCTCTTGTCACTGAAAGCTGCTTAACCTCCTATCCCCAGGCCCCGGTCTGAAGGTCGTCTCCACCCTGAGTGTGGGATATGACCACATTGATGTGAAAGAATGTGCCAGACGTAATGTCAAGATTGGATACACACCAGGAATTCTAACGGCTGCTACAGCAGAACTGACAGTTGCACTGCTGCTGGCGACCTCCCGCAGACTCAAGGAGGGTAGGGTATTCCAAATTTCCTTGCTTCTCACCTGCTCACACCTTCTTCAAGTGAATGCACTCACTAAACCACTCTTATTCCACAGACCTACTTGCAATCAGTTATTCACTCACTCAAATATGCTCTCAGTCATTCTAACCACAATTTTCCCATCACCAAACCTGTTTCGGATTTCCTCCTGCTCCAAACCTCTTATCATAAATCATATGTATAACCATAATTTTGTCTGCTGCAAATCTTCTCTTATCATAAATCATATGTATAATCATAATTTTGTCTGCTCCAAACCTTCTCTTATCATAAATCATATGATATAAACATAATTCTTATCCTAAATCATATGTATAACCATAATTTTGTCTGCTCCAAACCTTCTCTTATCATAAATCATATGATATAAACATAATTCTTATCCTAAATCATATGTATAACCATAATTTTGTCTGCTCCAAACCTTCTCTTATCATAAATCATATGTATAACCATAATTTTGTCTGCTCCAAATCTTCTCTTATCATATATCATATGTATAACCATAATTTTGTCTGCTCCAAACCTTCTCTTATCATAAATCATATGATATAAACATAATTCTTATCCTAAATCATATTATAACCATAATTTTGTCTACTCCAAACCTTCTCTTATCATAAATCATATGATATAAACATAATTCTTATCCTAAATCATATGTAAAACCATAATTTTGTCTTCTCCAAACCTTCTCTTATCATAAATCATATGATATAAACATAATTCTTCTTGCCTTCAAACTTCCTGTTGTCATAATTCATGTTATACAACCATTATTCTGCCTGCGCCAGACCTTCTATTATAAATGAGATGAAACAATTGTTATTCTTCTTGCAGTAAACCTTTTTGTTACAGAATCATATGATACAACCCTAAATATTTATGTCTCCTGCCAGGTATTCGAGCTGTGGAAAATGGGGAATGGGGTTCCTGGAAACCTATGTGGCTGTGTGGGCCAGGTCTTGAGGGTGCAACTGTAGGAATTGTGGGATTTGGTCGTATTGGCGTCACTGTTGGCCGATGTCTGAAACCGTTTGGTGTGGCCAGTTTTCTTTACAGTGGAAGATCAGAAAAACCAGTGGAAGCCAAAGAACTTGGAGCCATGTTTGTCAGCTTTGACGAATTGCTAGCCAAATCTGACTTTGTAGTTGCCTGTTGTGCTCTCACAGATAAGACCAGAAACTTATTTAATGCCAGTGCTTTCAAGAAGATGAAGAACAGTGCCGTGTTTGTCAACACCAGCAGGGGAGGGATTGTCAATCAGAATGATTTAATCACGGCCCTGCAGTCTGGACAGATCGGGGCTGCCGGCCTGGATGTGACCACACCAGAGCCTCTGCCGACAGACAGCCCACTCCTGAAACTGGACAACTGTGTTGTTCTTCCTCACATTGCCAGTGCCACGCACAAGACAAGGGCAGCCATGGCAGTCCTGGCAGCCAACAATTTGCTGGCTGGGCTGAGGGGAGATAAACTTCCACATGAAATTCAGATCTAGTTTTGGGGGGGAATCAGTAGCCTAGGGATAGAACTATAGGTGACGAGGTTTGAACAACAAAGAAGATGAGAGCACGTTCATCCTTACTGAAGTCATGCTGCCCAAACTTGGTGACATCATCAAAAGCTGCTTCGTGCTGCAAGATCATTGCCATGGTGGTGAAGACGATTCTTCTTTGCTGTTAAAAGAGCACCATTGGCACAATGTTCTGTGGTTTTTGGGAGGGATCACAACATGGATGATTAAAGGATATTTATTCTTAGAGACGACATGCTGACAGAAATTAGTGACAGCATCAGATGCTGCTCCATACTGCAGGAGCATTGTACAAAAAAGTGATGATGGTTGTAAAGATGATTTTTCTTGGTTCTTAAAAGAACACCGTTGGCACATTGTTTTGTGATTTATGGCTAGTATGTGATACGTGCATACATGTTTTTTTTTTTGTTGTTTATCTGGCAAAGATCTAATTTTCATTTCCTTGTTTTTCTTCAGTGGAAAGTGTGATTGTAATATCTTGTAAGCCAGCAGATGTTCAGCATAGTGTCAAATAGGATTCTTTGTTTTAACGCTATTGACATTTCGATCGTCTAGTGCTAGACTTAGTATTTTATAGGCCAGTTGGCACTCTGTGAATGATGTGGTCAGTATCTCGCCTTGTCTCAACATTTCTTGGTACCCATGTTGGACAGGGATGACCTGTGAGTCTAAGTAAATTATCAGAAAATCTGCCTCAGTGAGAATTTTAAGCTAAGCCCTGTGGTAGGGATGATGATATTTCAGAACATGTGAAATATGTGGTATTATCACAGAACATTTGAAGTGTGTGGTATTATCACAGAGCATGTGAAATGTGTAGTATTATCATAGAACATGTGAAATTTGTGGTGTTATCACAGAACATGTGAAATAGGTGATATTACAGAATATGTGAAATGCATGGTATTATCACATAACATGTAAAATGTGTGGTATTATCACAGAATTTGTTAAATGTATGGCATTATCACAGAATTTGTGAAGTGTGTGAATTTATCACAGAATATGTGAAGTGTGTGGTATTATCACAGAATATGTGAAGTGTGTGGTATTATCACAGAACATGTGAAATGCATGGTATTATCACAGAATATGTGAAATGTATGGTATTATCACATAATATGTGAATTGTATGATATTATCACAGACTATGTGAAATGTGTGGTATTATCACTGAATATGAGAAATGTGTGGTATTATCACAGAATTTGTAAAGTGTGTGGTATTATCATAGAACATGTTAAATGTGCATGTCATCACAGAACCTTGGAAATGAGTTTTATTTTCACAGAATATGTGAAACATCTATGCTATTATCCAGAACATGGGACATGTGTGGTATTATCACAGAACATAGGACATGTGTGGTATTATCACAGAACATGTGACATGTGTGGTATTATCACAGAACATGGGACATGTGTGGTATTATCACAGAACATGGGACATGTGTGGTATTATCACAGAACATGTGACATGTGTGGTATTATCACAGAACATGTGACATGTGTGGTATTATCACAGAACATGTGACATGTGTGGTATTATCACAGAACATGTAAAGTAGGTGGTATTATCACAGATCATGCCAAATGTGCACAGCATTATTACAGAACAGTGAAATATTCTTGAAATTATCACAGAACTTGTGAAATGTGCATGATTTATCACAGAACAATGTGAAATGTGCACGATTTATCACAGAACAATGTGAAATGTGCATGATTTATCACAGAACAATGTGAAATGTGCATGATTTATCACAGAACAGTGTGAAATGTGCATGATATCGTCACAAAACATGTGAGTTGTGTGTTAAATGTGTTAGAAAACAAATACTTAAGGAAATTGATGAACAATAAATGAGATGAAGCCAAGAAAGGCAAAAAAATCAGATACATGTGTGGGCAGCCGCTTCAGGTATAAGATAAAGAAGATAGTAATATAGTGTGCACATCATGAGAAGGAGCTGACTACATGAAATACAAATGGAATGAAGATATGAGGACAACCAAAGAGAAGCAGTCATCTGTCATCATCACTTCTCCTTATGCCTAGTGGCACATGAGGCTTTAGAGAGGACTTTCCATGCTTTCCTGCCCTGTGCAATCTTCAGTGCAGTTTTCCATGTCAGAGATGCAGCATTCAGTTCACTTTCCATCAATGTCTGTGAGCTTTGTGTTTAAGGGCACAAGAGGAGTGTTATTTAAGTTGTGTCTCATATTCTCAAGACAAATTAGGTGTGCATGATACCAGGATAGGAGGAGTAGTTGGCCAAGTTGTTTAAACACTGGGCTGTCAAGCAGGAGACCCAGGTCAGAATCCTCTGTAAGGCTGGGGAATTTTTTTTTTTCTTCTGTCAGAGCAAAAATCAAGTCTGTGGTGACAGCTTTAGCCATGGGGCCCTTAATCCTCAGGCTCAAAGATCCCCCTAGCCTACACTGCAAAAAAAAAAAGTGGTAAACACAGACATGTTTTCTCTTTAACTCTTTGAGTCCCAAGGAACGCATCATACGTTCATAGGTTACTACCTACAAGCCCAATGAACGCATGATGCGCCGATTTTATTATTTTCTTTACTACCCCCTGGGCCTGTGATGCTAAACCCCCTGGGACTCAAAGAGTTAAGAATCTAGGGAACGTCACTTATGCATTATATTATCAAAAGTATTTCATATGGCTCGGTCTCCACAGAACAGCTAGCCACCTGCCAAGAGCATCGCACAGAGTAGAACAGTAGCTCAGGTCATGGTTCACAGGAATCTCCTAAAAACTGCATTCGTGAACTGTACAGGTCAAACAGCTTGATACCTTCATCACGGTAACACCCTGCTATGATATCATCAGAGAGCATGTAAGGTGTGCCTGGTATTACCAGCCAACACGTCAGATTTGCATATTGTCATGAAATTAGTGAGGTGTGCATGTTGTCAAGGAAGATTTGAAATGTCCATGTTGGCATTGGGGAACATGTGAAGTGTGCATGATAGCATTGGGGAACATGTGAAGTGTGCATGATAGCATTGGGGAACATGTGAAGTGTGCATGATAGCATTGGATAACATGTGAAATGTGCATGATAGCATTGGGGAAACATGTGAAGTGTGCATATTATCCAGAAACATGTGAGGTTTGCACGATATTGTCAGGGAACATGTGAGGTTTGTATGATATTGTCAGGGAACATGTGAGGTTTGTATAATATTGTCAGGCAACATTGGAGGTTTGCATTACATTATCAGGGAACATGTGAGGTGTGTATGATATTCTCAGGTAGCGTGAGGTTTGCATTACATTATCAGGGAACATGGGAGATTTGTACGATATTCTCAGGTAGCATGAGGTTTGTACGCCCATTAACAGGGAACATGTGAGGTTTGTATGATATTCTCAGGTAGCGTGAGGTTAGCACAATTTTGCCAGTGAACATATGAAGTGTGTATGTTATCAGGGAAACATATGAAATGTGCATGATAGCATTGGGGAAACATGTGAAATGTGCATGATAGCATTGGGGAAACATGTGAAATGTGCATGATAGCATTGGGGAAACATGTGAAATGTGCATGATAGCATTGGGGAAACATGTGAAATGTGCATGATAGCATTGGAGAACATGTGAAATGTGCATGATAGCATTGGGGAAACATGTGAAATGTGCATGATAGCATTGGGGAAACATGTGAAATGTGCATGATTTTATCAGGGAACATGTGAAAGTGTGCATATAATATTGTCAGAAAACATATTGAGGTTTGCAATTGATATTATCAGGGAAACATGTGAGGTGTGTATGATATTGTCAGGGAACATGTGAGGTTTGGTCATGTACACACTTAAGGTTTATGTGAGGCAATGTTGTCATTTGAGGATTGTTTTTAAGAGAATGACCCATTATCAGGGAACATGCAGGTGTGTTTGCATGATATTCTCAGGTAGCGTGAGGTTTGCATTACATTATCAGGGAACATGAAGTTAGATTTGTACGATATTCTTAGGTAGCATGAGGTTTGTACGCCCATTATCAGGGAACATGTGAGGTTTGCATGATATTCTCAGGTAGCGTGAGGTTAGCACAATTTTGCCAGTGAACATATGAAGTGTGTATGTTATCAGAGAACATATGAAGTGTACAAGATGTTATCAGAGAACATATGAAGTGTGTATGTTATCAGAGAATATATGAAGTGTGTATGTTACCAGACAATATATGAAGTGTGTATGTTATCAGAGAACATATGAAGTGTGTATTTTATCAGAGAACATATAAAGTGTGTATGTTATCAGAGAACATATGAAGTGTGTATATTATCAGAGAACATATGAAGTGTGTATGTTATCAGAGAACATATTTGTGCATGATTTTTATCAAAAAAAAACTGTGTACATTTTCATGAGAACTCATTTGCATGAAGATGTGTATATCTATCATTGAGAAATATGAAGTGTACAAGATGTTATCAGAGAACTTGAGATTTGTGCATGATTTTTATCAGGAAACACGTAAAGTGTGTACATTTTCATAAATCTCATTTGCAGTGATATTAGAATTTCTATCATTGATCAGCAGATCTTGCTGCAGCAGTTGTGGTGTGGAATTGATATCTGAAAACTGAAGCTGCGTTTGTTTGGTCATGTACACACTTCTTCTGTGTGTTGGTTCTCAACTTGTCTGTCTGCAACCCTCTGTCCTTGATAAGATTGTTTTTAATAGATTAGGGTTGTAAAAACCAAAACCAAATACAGATTCAGACTGCTTAGGCAGTGAAGTCAGACTTGACGTTGCATACCCTTTTTTTGGGGATCGAAACTTTTACCCTGGCACAGGGGTCGAACTTACCATCGCAAAACACATATTCACTGAAGTTATGAAGTAGAGACGACAATAATTGTATGGTTGGGGATCACCACAACATGAGGAACTGAATTAAATGGTCTCAGCATTAGGAAAGTTGAGAACCACTGGCTTAATGTGATCTCAGATTTTGCTACTTTCTTTTGTGAAAAACAAACTGTTTTTTTTTTCTTTTTTTTGCTTGAACTCTTTTTCTGGATAAGACGACTTTCTGGTGAGAAGAAGAACCATTTCTTGGGTCAGCTGTGACTTCTCCTTATCAGGTCTTCAATGTACTGCATTTAACGATAACAAACATAATGTCCACAGACAAAACTGCCTGTCGCCTCTAAACATAACAATGAATGATAAAGAAATTTAAAAAATGTCACGAACTGAATATATCAAGGCTCCATGATAGATAGCAATAGAGACTGTTTAATGGAAGTCAAAAGGAGGATGGCCGTAAAAAGCAAAGATTAAACAGGATTAAAAGTCTATGGTTAACCACCGGCACGAAAAGAAAGTGTGAGTCGTGGACTATCTCATAATCTCACTTGATTTGGCCAAATCAAGCGTCACGGCGATTAGAAATACTTGTAGCAAAAAGCAGGGTGCCAGAAGAGAAGGACAGGCGCCGACCAGCACGAAGATGGGCCCAGGCTGTAAGAGACACATTGGCCAGGAATATGCTCGAGGCGAAAGATCTGTCGAGAGACCGAGTTTCTTTCAGGTAGAGTGATGTTCTGCAAACTATCTTCTGCATGATAATGAATTTGTAAATGTTGTTATTTCAAACATTTGATGTACTAAGATACGTAAAAATTAGGTAGAAACTGTCTGGGATCGAAAGGATTGAGTCAAACATGTACATCAATGTCAAGAAGTAAGTATGAACAAATTATGTAGAAACTGTCTGGGTTCGAAAGTATTGAGTCAAACATGTACATCAATGTCAAGGAGTAAGTATGAACAAATTATGTAGAAACTGTCTGGGTTCGAAAGGATTAAGTCAAACATGTACATCATTGTCAAGGAAGACGTACGTAGAAATTAGGTAGAAACTGTCTGAGATGGAAAGAATTGGGTCAAACATGTACATCATTGTCAAGGAATACGTATGTACAGATTAGGTAGAAACTGTCTGGGTTCGAAAGGATTGAGTCAAACATGTACATCATTGTCAAGGAATACGTATGTACAGATTAGGTAGAAACTGTCTGAGATCGAAAGGATTGAGTCAAACATGTACATCATTGTCAACGAATACGTACGTATAAATTAGGTAGAAACTGTCTGAGATCGAAAGGATTGAGTCAAACATGTACATCATTGTCAAGGAATACGTATGTACAGATTAGGTAGAAACTGTCTGAGATCGAAAGGATTGAGTCAAACATGTACATCATTGTCAAGGAATACGTATGTACAGATTTGGTAGAAACTGTCTGAGATGAAAAGGATTGAGTCAAACATGTGCATCATTGTCAAGGAATACGTACTTACAAATTAGGTAGAAACTGTCTGAGATGGAAAGGATTGAGTCAAACATGTACATCATTGTCAAGGAAGACGCACGTACAGATTAGGTAGAAACTGTCTGAGATGGAAAGGATTGAGTCAAACATGTACATCATTGTCAAGGAATACGTATGTACAGATTAGGTAGAAACTGTCTGAGATCGAAAGGATTGAGTCAAACATGTACATCATTGTCAACGAATACGTACGTATAAATTAGGTAGAAACTGTCTGAGATCGAAAGGATTGAGTCAAACATGTACATCATTGTCAAGGAATACGTATGTACAGATTAGGTAGAAACTGTCTGAGATCGAAAGGATTGAGTCAGACATGTACATCATTGTCAAGGAATACGTATGTACAGATTTGGTAGAAACTGTCTGAGATGAAAAGGATTGAGTCAAACATGTACATCATTGTCAAGGAATACGTACGTACAAATTAGGTAGAAACTGTCTGAGATGGAAAGGATTGAGTCAAACATGTACATCATTGTCAACGAATACGTACGTATAAATTAGGTAGAAACTGTCTGAGATGGAAAGGATTGGGTCAAACATGTACATCATTGTCAAGGAAAACGTACGTACACATTAGGTAGAAACTGTCTGGGTTCGGCAGGATTGAGTCAGACGTGCATCATTGTCAAGAAATACGTTAACAATTACTAGAACAGCTTGGTGTAGAGTAGACATATACTCTTACAGATCCCTTGTAGTCAGTTTTTACTGTGGAGACGGTACCCGATTGATTCCTTGATTTCGTATTCTGCTTACTGTGTCAAAGAGTGTTGCGATACCGCTTTGAAAGCTTGGTCTCATTCGCCCAATTCTGTGGCCTCATATTTAGGGCAAAATGAACATACCCCCTGTCAGTGGCAATGCATGATCAGTTCGCACGTGTAAGCGTTAGCAGCTAACGATTTTACTGGTGATAATTTTGCCAAAGGGCGAAAGCTCATGCGCCGCTGGATCTATAACAACAACAACTGGTGAGGATATCATATGATATGTTATCTCCACGGTATACTTCACGCACAACAGTTTCTGCATGAGTGACGTAATCATGCAGCGAGCGTTCTTTTCGCTTTGTTCAGGATGCAAACTGAGAAACGTGCTTGTAATAAACAGTAAACAGTACTAATAAAAAGTAAATACAATAATTTGTCCTTGGTAGTGGAAAGTATAAGCAGCAACTGCAGCTGTTACATGCACGTCACTGCCCCTGGATTTGTAGGGAAAGGCGACTAATTAAGTATCATCATCATCATCATGTAGGAGGTCTTTTGCAGAAACGTTGCTCTCATCACAGTCTGCCTGAAATAAACTCGGTCTCTCGCCAGTTCTCCCGCCTCATGCACTTTCACACCCAAGGAGTCACTTATATCCTGTGCCCATATTCTTGTCAGTCGGCCCCTGCCCCTCCTTCCTGGTACCATGCCTTCTGCTATAATTTTTTTCCAATCCGTCGTGGCGCTTGATATGACCAAAATATTTCAGCTTTCGAGAAAGGATGCTGTTTATTAGTTAATCTTCCTTGATGTTCAGATCTTTTAAGATGTCAATATTTCTCATCTTCATTATCTAAGATATTCTGAGAATCTTTCTATAACATTTCAGCTCAAATGCCCCTATTCTCTTTCTTAAGGACTGAGAGATAGTCCACGACTCACATCCGTATGTATCCACGGGGAAGATGCATGCTCTCAAAATTCTAATTTTTTTCTCCTTGCTGGTGCTTAACCATTGACTTTTAAGGTTGTTCAATCTTTGCATTGCTATGGCCATACTCCTTTTAATTTCTGTCGAACAGTCTCCATTGCTGTTTATTATAGACCCTAGACATTCAAAGTATAGGATAACTAAAACCGGATCTGTGTGCGTGTCATACTTGGAGATTTCGCTGTTGGGGCGAGGTAATGTTGTATCTAGAGCATGTTTTAGTTAGCATTTTAATCCACTAACGGTTTGATGGACATGGCGTAGATTCCTACTCAAAATAATGCACAATGTATATCAGAAAGAAATCAACGTAAACACATTCTTATAATTTATCACATTTGTTTACGCCGCCATCTGGCCTTGATTGTCACAAACCACACATGCACCCGCGCATACACACATACGCTCACATACACACACACGTACGCTCACATACACACACACGTACGCTCACATACACACACACGTACGCAAAATGCTGGGGTTGGTTAAGAATGTTAGACCACCTGTAAGGGACACTGTAATCTCACAGTTTGTGAGCCGAGCCGCCACGATGTAGGGGCTAGAGTCTTCTCTACGAAATCGAAGGTCGTCGGTTCAAATCCGCATGAATATAGTTTTCAAACAGGACCTTGGCTCCCAGGTCGACCCAGCCTGCTGAAATGGGTACCAGGCAGTGGCAAAGCAAGGTGGTACATGGGAGGAAATTTAGGGGGTTTGTTTATTTTTCAGCCAAGCTTTTTTTAAGCAGTCACTTCAAACGTAGAAAGTAACCGATAAAGACGCGCAAAGGGAAAACGTGAACTTTCGACCCCAGGTACAAAGTTGAAAGTTAGCAGACCGACCGACGGTTCCACCCACAAATGTTCAGTCTACGAGGAGTTGGTCGAGTTCTGTCGCGCTCGTGTTGGAAGAGTTTAGAAGTCAGTAGGCAACGTCTAGCGGTGGTCAGTATGAGTTCTGGAGCCAGACCGCGTGTGTTTATCAGTCGGAGAATTCCGGAGGAGGGACGGGCACTGCTGGCGGCCACATGTGATGTGAACAGCTGGGAGTCGGACGAACCACCATCCGTAGTGAATATCTTCAGTCTGTGGCAGGGGTGGACGGTATCCTGTGTCTGCTCACGGATACGATCAATGGGGAACTACTGGACGCTGCAGGTAATATAATTCCCAGTGCTAAATTTTGGCATAAGCTAACTAAGCTGCACTTAAGGGGCCTCACAATTTGTAGAGGCGTGGACAAATTTGTTTTTGTTCCCATAGGCAGTTTTCTTTTAAAAAGGCCTTTAAAGAGGATTTTATAACAGAATTTATGTGATTTTTGCAGAGACATATTTTTTCAATTATTTTATTTTACTAAAAATAAACGACAATATATGTTAATCTGAAAACCACTGGCAGGGGGGGGGAGAACTGTTTGATATACAGTGAGGATAATCTGTCGACTAATGAATGATGTTCTACAATTTCCCATCCCCAGGGCCTAACTTGAAAGTTGTCTCTACCCTGAGTGTGGGATATGACCACATAGATGTGAAAGAATGTGCTAGGCGTAATGTCAAAGTTGGATACACGCCAGGAATCCTGACGGCTGCTGTAGCAGAACTGACAGTTGCACTGCTGCTGGCAACCTCTCGCAGACTCAAAGGAGGGTAGGATATTCCATGTTTCTTATCCCTTGCAACTCCTCGATTGGGTTCTGGTGCCCCAGTTTAGGGGACAAATAATTAACACACTGCCCCCCCCCCCCCCACCAACAAGAATGTTGTAAGAATAGACCAGTTAGTTTCTTTTTCCCACTTTGAAGTCTCAGTGCATTTTCTTTAGAGGCAAGGAAACAACAGTCTGCATACCAACAAGCCAGATCTGTAGAACGGATGTGCATGCAAAACTCAAGCTGTGGAACAAGACTCAAGTCCAGATGTGGAGGAACAACCACAAATTTCCACTGGAGCTTGAAGGATACACAGCAGTACGAAATACCGGCACCTTTTTATGGCATACATTTTTCAGCACCAAGGTAATCGGGGTCTTGCTAGTCACACTCATCAGTTAAGATAAATTCATCATATTCCTAGTGTGTGCCTACACTTCTTGAGATGTAAGCATGTTAATAGACTAACATTTTAAATCATGTGATCCTAGTGTGGCTCAGGGGGCCCGAAAGGCTTGACCAACTACCCCCTCACCTCCACAAAGTATGTCAAAAAACATGGTTAATCTGCGATTTCCTTGAATTAGATAGCTACTAAAAACGCTATGCAGCCAAGATGTAAACCACAACACAAGGTGCCAACCACCCTTCTAAGGGTGAATGCAGAAGGAGAAGAAACTCAAGTCCAAGTGTAAATTTAGGTAAACCTTGTTTGTTTACAATATTTTCAACAGATCAGGTTTATTTGTTTGCAGACTGTTGTTTCCTTGCCTCTTACACAGACAGGAGCTGACTTGAAAGGAAATGTCACTCCTATCTACGTTGGTCAGTCTTCCAGTTGGCAACCTGTTTTTAAAATGACAGAGGAGAGGTGTAGGCAGGTCTTCACCAGTATGAACTGTAGTCCTGCCGAACCACCATGTGAGGCTTGGCACCTCTGCATCCTGAATCGCTGTCACCAGTCGGCAGGTTCTTTACAGAACATTGCTTTAATCAGGCTATGCCTGAAAGTCTCTTGTTCTCTTTACAATTCTCCAGCCCTATGTGCTTTCACAGCTGGTGTATTTTTAATTCCTAGTATCCACCTTCACGGGGGTTGGTCTCTGCCTTGTTTTCTGCACACTGTACTCTTCATGGCTTTTCTTTTCCAGGCCACCATGATAAGAAAACTTTAATAATATATATGTGGTTTAGAAATATTGCCATATTTATTTTATAAAACAAACAGACCAGAACAAGTCATTATCCTTCGCCACAGAACAGGGCACAACCAATTACGCAACCACATGTACACAAAACTCAAGATAGGTGTATTAGCCATGTGCACTTGTGGAAAGTCACCCCAGACAGCAGAATATATACTCCATGACTGCACTGAATTTGATACATCAAGGCAAACTTTTTGGCAAGAAAGAACAACAGTGGAATGTAAGCTCTGAACAAACTAAAAATGACTGAAATCTTTATGAGACAAAATAGCAGATATAGACAACTTATTTCAGGTGAACAAAGAAGAAGAATATGTGAAGTAATGGAAAAGTTAAAACCATAACATCTATAAATTTAATAACTAGTCTGTCCTGCTCTCACCAGGTATTCGAGCTGTGGAAAATGGTGAATGGGGCACGTGGAAACCGATGTGGCTGTGTGGGCCAGGTCTTGACGGAGCAACCGTAGGAATTGTGGGATTTGGTCGTATTGGGGTCACTGTTGGCCGATATCTGAAACCATTTGGAGTGGCTAGTTTTCTTTACCATGACAGCTTTCAAAAACCAGTGGAAGCGAGCGAACTTGGAGCAGAGTATGCCAGCTTTGACGAATTGCTAGCCAAATCTGATTTTGTAGTTGCCTGTTGTGCTCTCACAGACGAGACCAGAAACTTATTTAATGCCAGTGCTTTCAAAAAGATGAAGAACAATGCCGTGTTTGTCAACACCAGCAGAGGAGGGATTGTCAATCAGAATGATTTAATCACGGCCCTGCAGTCTGGACAGATCGGGGCTGCTGGCCTGGATGTGACCACACCAGAGCCTCTGCCGACAGACAGCCCACTCCTGAAGCTGGACAACTGTATTGTCCTTCCTCACATTGCCAGTGCAACGCACAAGACAAGGGCAGCCATGGCAGTCCTGGCAGCCAACAATTTGCTGGCTGGGCTGAGGGGGGACAGACTTCCACAAGAAGTCGAATCCTAACTCAAGAGTGACCACAACAATCCAGCTCTAACTCATAGTGACTATAACAAATCCAGTCCCAATTCAAAGTGACTATAACAGCATAACTAGAATGTCTTTGCACTGGAACCCACAGGGGCATAAGAATAAAGGAAGGCCATAAAACACATGGAGAAGAGAGCTGGAGAATAAGGTTAGAAAGAATAGGGAGGACATGGGGACAGCTCCATATAACAGTGAAGGAAAGAACGACTTGGCATGAGCTGGTTGAGAGCCTATGCTCTATTGGGGGATAGAAAGGCAGAACAAGAAGAATATCAAATCCAGTCCATATTCAAAGTGACTATAACAAATCCAGTCCATCTTCAAAGTGACTATAATAAATCCAGTCCATCTTCAAAGTGACTATAACAAATCCAGTCCATCTTCAAAGTGACTATAACAAATCCAGTCCATCTTCAAAGTGACTATAACAAATCCAGTCCATATTCAAAGTGACTATAACAAATCCAGTCCATATTCAAAGTGACTATAAAAAATCCAGTCCATATTCAAAGTGACTATAACAAATCCAGTCCATATTCAAAGTGACTATAACAAATCCAGTCCATATTCAAAGTGACTATAACAAATCCAGTCCATATTCAAAGTGACTTTAACAAATCCAGTCCATATTCAAAGTGACTATAACAAATCCAGTCCATATTCAAAGTAACTACAACAAGAAATTGTGTTTTAATCGGGGTAGGCAGCATCCAGAATTTTAGTCCTAATTCAAACAGACTACATCCGTAAAAATCCCTATTAAAATGACTACATTAAGAAACCCAGCTCTAATTCAGTCACTATAATGAGTAATTAAGCCCCAAATCGTAATGAAACTGGCAACAAACTGAAACTTCAAAGTGACAGCAACAGGAAATCCAGTCTTAATTCAAACTGACAATAAGAGCTTTGGTCCTAATTGTTAGACAATGATGAGAAGTGTGTGAGAGCAAACCATTTATAAATGAACATTTGGAAGCAGCTTCCATGTTGTAACAATCAATGTCTTCATTAAAAAAATATTTAAAAATGTGATTCACCAGTCAAGATACATTTGTCATTTCCTGTCGTATACTGTCGTCAGTTAGAGCCTTCCACAACAAATGCTTGTGTGCTGATGTGAACTGTACAGGATTGTTCTATGATTGTCTGTCAATGATTGTTTCAGCTGTATATCATTGTTCTATGATTATCTATCAGTGTTTATGTATGATGTATATCATTGTTCTATGATTGTCTGTCAGTGGTGATTGTGTCAATGGTTTATCACTGTTCTGTGATTGTCTGTCAGTGATGATTGTGTCAACTGTATATCAGTGTTCAATGATTGTCTGTCAGGGATTGTGTCTGGTGTATATCATTGTTCTATGATTGTCTGTCAGTGCTTGTGTCAGCTGTATATCATTGTTCTATGATTGCCTGTCAGTGTTTGTTAAGTTGTATATCACTGTTCTGTGATTGTCTGTCAGTGATGATTGTGTCAACTGTATATCAGTGTTTAATGATTGTCTGTCAGGGATTGTGTCTGGTGTATATCATTGTTCTATGATTGTCTGTCAGTGCTTGTGTCAGTGTCAGCTGTATATCATTGTTCTATGATTGCCTGTCAGTGTTTGTTAAGTTGTATATCACTGTTCTGTGATTGTCTGTCAGTGATGATTGTGTCAACTGTATATCAGTATTCAATGATTGTCTGTCAGGGATTGTGTCTGGTGTATATCATTGTTCTATGATTGTCTGTCAGTGCTTGTGTCAGCTGTATATCATTGTTCTATGATTGCCTGTCAGTGTTTGTTAAGTTGTATATCACTGTTCTGTGATTGTCTGTGATGATTGTGTCAACTGTATATCAGTGTTTAATGATTGTCTGTCAGGGATTGTGTCTGGTGTATATCATTGTTCAATGATTGTCTGTCAGTGTTTGTGTCTGGTCTATATCATTGTTCTATGATTGTCTGTCAGTGTTTGTGTCAGCTGTATATCATTGTTATATGATTGCCTGTCAGTGTTTGTGTCAGCTGTATATCATTGTTCTATTCTGTGATTGTCTATCAGGGTCTGTGTCTAAAGCAGCAGTTCTCAACCCTGCCGGTTTCACAGCGGTCGCCTAAGACCTTCAGAAAACAAATATTATTTGAAGTTAAGAAAGAAAATAATTGTCGCCACAACATGAGGGAACTGTATTAAAGGGTCACACATTAGGAAGGTTGAGAGCCACTGGTCTAATGTATATCAATGCTAATTGATTGTGAGTCATTGTGTCTGAGCTGTAAATTATTGCTGTATGACTGTCAGAGGCAGTGTGTGTATGAGCTGTATAACATTGTCTGTCAGTGTTTGTGTCTGAACTATTTCATTGCTATGTGATTGTGAATCAGTGTGTACGTGCGTGTATGTGTGTGCATGCATGCATGTCAGGGATGAGTGTCTTTCAGTGACTGTATATGACTGTCTGAGCTGTATCAATTATTGTGACTGTATATGACTGTCTGTCAGATATGACTGGTCAGTGACTGTATATGACTGTCTGTCAGTGACTGTATAAGTGACATATGACTGTCTGTCAGTGACTGTATATGTGTCTGTCAGTGACTGTATATGACTGTCTGTCAGTGACTGCTATGACTGTCTGTCAGTGACTGTATCAATTGTATATCACTGGGTCTATGACTGTCTGTCAGTGACTGTATCAATGTGCACTGGGTCTATGACTGTCTGTCATGACTGTATATGAGGTCTGTCAGTGACTGTATCAATTTCATCACTGGGTATATGACTGTCTGTCAGTGACTGTATCAGTGACTGTATCAATTGTATATCACTGGGTCTATGACCGTCTGTCAGTGACTGTATATGACTGTCTGTCAGTGACTGTATCAATTGTATATCACTGGGTCTATGACCGTCTGTCAGTGACTGTATATAACTGTCTGTCAGTGACTGTATATGACTGTCTGTCAGTGACTGTATATGACTGTCTGTCAGTGACTGTATCAATTGTATATCACTGGGTCTATGACCGTCTGTCAGTGACTGTATATGACTGTCTGTCAGTGACTGTATATGACCGTCTGTCAGTGACTGTATATGACTGTCTGTCAGTGACTGTATATGACTGTCTGTCAGTGACTGTATATGACTGTCTGTCAGTGACTGCATATGACCGTCTGTCAGTGACTGTATATGACTGTCTGTCAGTGACTGTATATGACTGTCTGTCAGTGACTGTATTGTATCACTGGGTCTATGACCGTCTGTCAGTGACTGTATATGACTGTCGAGAGTGACTGTCAGTGTCAGTGACTGTATATGACCGTCTGTCAGTGACTGTATATGACTGTCTGTCAGTGACTGTATCAATTGTATATCACTGGGTCTATGACCGTCTGTCAGTGACTGTATATGACTGTCTGTCAGTGACTGTATATGACTGTCTGTCAGTGACTGTATATGACTGTCTGTCAGTGACTGTATATGACTGTCTGTCAGTGACTGTATATGACTGTCTGTCAGTGACTGTATATGACTGTCTGTCAGTGACTGTATATGACTGTCTTCTGTCAGTGACAGTGACTGTATATGACCGTCTGTCAGTGACTGTATATGACTGTCTGTCAGTGACTGTATATGACTGTCTGTCAGTGACTGTATATGACTGTCTGTCAGTGACTGTATATGACTAGTGACTGTATATGACTGTCTGTCAGTGACTGTATATGACTGTCTGTCAGTGACTGTATATGACTGTCAGTGACTGTATGTATCAATTGTATATCACTGGGTCTATGACCGTCTGTCAGTGACTGTATGACTGTCTGTCAGTGACTGTATATGACTGTCTGTCAGTGACTGTATATGACTGTCTGTCAGTGACTGTATATGACTGTCTGTCAGTGACTGTATAATTGATATCACTGTCTGTCAGTGACTGTATATGACTGTCTGTCAGTGACTGTATATGACTGTCTGTCAGTGACTGTATATGACTGTCTGTCAGTGACTGTATATGACTGTCTGTCAGTGACTGTACTGTATGACTGTATATGACTGTCTGTCAGTAACTGTATCAATTGTATATCACTGGGTCTATGTATCTGTCAGTGACTGTATATGACTGTCTGTCAGTGACTGTATATGACTGTCTGTCAGTGACTGTATATGACTGTCTGTCAGTGACTGTATATGACTGTCTGTCAGTGACTGTATATGACTGTCTGTCAGTGACTGTATCAATTGTATATCACTGGGTCTATGACCGTCTGTCAGTGACTGTATATGACTGTCTGTCAGTGACTGTATATGACTGTCTGTCAGTGACTGTATATGACTGTCTGTCAGTGACTGTATATGACTGTCTGTCAGTGACTGTATATGACTGTCTGTCAGTGACTGTATATGACTGTCTGTCAGTGACTGTATATGACTGTCTGTCAGTAACTGTATCAATTGTATATCACTGGGTCTATGACCGTCACTGGGTATATGACTGTCTGTCAGTGACTGTGACTCAGTGACTGACTGTGTCTGTCTCTGTATAGCTCTTTGCATATGGGCCTTTTTGTCTGTCAGAACAAATCAGTTTTGGGTAATTTTAAAATCTCATAGGCAGGGCCTTTTTTAGGTACTACTAACCACAAAATATCTGTTGCAGTAACGCTAAACATTGAGAGAGAAAAAAAGATGCCTAACAAAAGTTGGTACTGAGCATCACCAGAAAAAGAAATCCCTGGTTATATGACTGCCAGCACTTGTGTCCACTACATATCACTGCTCTTCTAGAGAGGATCTGAACTTCACACAGCAGTGCATCAGGGCTCAAACTGGTCAACCCCTGTTAGGTGGTCATCCTAGAAACAGGTTCACAACCAGAGGCCTGGACAGTGTAGACAAAACAATTTACTTTGAAGTCAGAGTGCATATGCTTGAGAGGTGAGGAACCAACAGTCTGCACACAACTAAGCCATATCTGTAAAATG